ACACTCCCTAACATACAGAGCTACCCCACAGTCTCTCCTTCCCTGCCTATCCCTTCTGAAGAGCTTATAGCCATCCAGTGCAGCACTCCAGTCATGAGAGTCATCCCACCATGTTTCTGTGATGGCGACTATGTCATAGCTATCCTGCTGCACAAGGGCTTCCAGCTCCTCCTGTTTGTTGCCCATGCTGTGTACATTGGTGTAGATGCACTTGAGTTGGGCTACCAATTTCACCCCCAATGTTGCTATGCCACCCTCGGGTTCCTCTCTAGCGAGCCTGGTTATATCCCCTTCCCCCTTTGAACCTAGTTTAAAGCCCTCTTGATGACTCCTGCCAACTCATGGGCGAGAATCCTTTTCCCCTTTGGAGACACCTGACTTCCATCTGCTGCCAGCCCAGATCGGGGAGTTTCTTAGTAACTTCCCTAACCTGGACCCCAGGGAGGCAGCAGTCTTCCCTGTGGGATGGGTCTGGATGGCATATTGAGCCCTCTGTTCCCCACAGGAGGGAATCACCCACCACAATTACCCTCCTGTTTTTCTTAACAGGGCCAGTCGTAATGCGTGGGGCTGACTGACTCCCCCTCGGCAACCCCCTGGCTAGACCTTCACTTATCTCCTTGCTTGCCTGGCCCTCAAGTTCCAGAGCCCTATATCTGTTGTGTAGGGGCAACTGGGAAGGTGAGGGAGGCCGGGAGGGGATTTGCCTGCCACCCCGGGCAGGGAGCTGTTTCCATTCTGCCCCTGTCTCTTGGATCCCCTCCTTCTGCTTGCTGGCAAGAGGGTAGGGGATCCTCTGCTCCTTGTGGGGCCTCCATCTGCTGCCTTGGCCTCAGGAATGGTAGGGTGTGACTCCACCCATCTATCTCCCTCTCACACTCCCTGATACTCCTTAGCCTTTCCACCTCCTCTTTCAGCTCAGATGGTTTGTGGGAGACGATGGAAAAATCCGTTTTGTATTTCCAGGTCACTGATGCAGACTCACTTTGTAGCTTAGCAAAACCACATTATTTTATTATGCACCCAGATCTATTTCACTGAGCTATGTTGACTTCTCATTTATATCTAGAAGACATTTTGAAAGCTTAGGTTTCATATTGTTCAAAGGAAGTCCCCATGATGGCAATTGTTCTAATATTTACGGTTAATAATAACAGTTAATTTCCTGGAGTGATGCTGGTATAATGGAGCATTGTAATTCCATGTTCTGTTTTTACCTTGTTCTAGAAGGGCTAATAAACAATGCAGCTCTCTGCGTTTTGTATTACAGGTTTTCTCCAGAAAACACAGACCTCCTTACAACACTGGGGTTACTTTACTTGCAGGTATTGAGGACTGCTAGCTGTTACATGAACTTAATTATTTTCAAAATGACTGAGTTTTTTTTTTTTGTAATAGAGTTAATTTCTATCTACCTTCCTATGACTTGCACACATTTCTCTAAAGACTGCATTTAACATGACAGAGCTTGCTTTTCTGTATCTTCTTTTTGCCTTTTGCTGCTAAAAGCAAGTTGATTTCCTGGACCTGAGCCAGAGCAGGAATTCTGTTTGGCAACTGCCCTAATTCTGCTATAAATCCTCCAAGTACTGCAAAACATGACTAGTCATTACCTTGCTTCTGGAGCAGGAGTCTAGCAAGTTATTGTCCTACAAAAGCAGCCATGAAATTGTTAGTGTTAATGCACCATAGAAGAAAATCAGAATCGATTTAAATAACAAAGGCATGCTTATCACTTGGGTCTGCAAAATGTCTGTAAAATTCTTCCCAAAGAATGAACAAGCAAAGAAGAATAGGCAGTAGTGCCTGAAAGGATTGATGGGCTAGAAAACTTGCACCGAGTGCTGATTCGGAAAGATCCTTAAGCATTTCCCTAATTGTTTAGATGCTTGAGAATAAAATGTAGATCTTGAAAAAGATTGCCTTGCTCTAGAGATAGGGAAATTCAATAAGAGCCTTGGATGTCTTAAGCAGGTAAGTGTGGATTTAGGAGGGAGTATGATGTGGGAAGGGGGGGTCTGTAGGATAGAAGTAGTGAGTATAACATTTGCCCAGTGAATTTAGCCCCCAGGTCTCTGTGGTGTGATTCATTTGTCCAATTTGTCATGTCTCTCTGGATATGTACTCACCTTCAAGAGTTCTAAAGATGCTCCTACAGCTTTCTAACTTGCTATTAATTACAGAAGGTGCTGGGCTCTGATGCGTCAGTATAATTGCTGGAGTGACAAATGGGCTTCTCATCAATTTTTGTGACCAAAAAAGGACACCAGTACCCAGAATTTTATCCTGCTTCGACTGGTACAATCCTGGCATAACTCAATTGAAAACAATAGGATTTAAGGGATTCAGTGTGCTTATATATGGACACAGCCATGCCCACTAACACTTGCAGTCCATTAGAAGACAAGGGGAGACTTTTTCTCATGAAAAGAGTGCCCTGGGGAATGAGGAAGTTGTGGTGAGGGAATTGAGGATGTGCAGAGTAGCAATTTGTAGCCTCTTTTCTGGAAGAGAGGAAGGAGCAGAGAAGTATCAACCCAGAGCTCGCTCCTGTATAGAAAAGTCAGAGCACAAGCTATATGGAAAACTTTGTTTTGGTCAGAACAGTGAGTCCAGCCCAGCAAAATACATTTTTAGAATCTAGTTTGTAAATTATCAAACAAGAACATGTGTGTTTAATGGGAGCACTGTAAAATTCACCTTTCTGAATATTTGTTTTAACTGATCTAGAAATCCTAGTGCAAAAAACCTATGTGTTCTCCTTCTTAACCTTCCTTTTTCTGATGCTTATTTACTTCTTTTCCCAGCTTGGGGATTACCAGAAGGCTTTTGAACACCTTGGAAATGCACTTACTTACGACCCAGGCAACTACAAGGTATCATAAGGAGTGGAAATGAACCAGTGGAATGATGACAAGACACCCCTTAAAGCCAATTCCAGTATCAGAGCTTTGCCATCTGTGTCCGGGGTCTTAGCCTGGAGAGGCTGAAAAGGATCATGCCCAGAAAGCTTTCTCCGAAATACATTTCTGGGACCTTTCCCTGGGTGGGGAGTTGGATGTGTGTGGAGGTAGAGAAAAGGGAGGAGGCAGAATATGGGATGTTAAATTGATCCTTCGTTTTTAATCTGAAGTTGCAAACAAATTAAAACAAATAGAATTTACTTTGCAAGGAAAATGTTCTAGACATTGTTTCAAAAATCCCAAGAGCTCTTCATGGGTCCCTGTGACTCCTAGGCATGGAGCACAGATACAAGTGATATTCCATTATATTATTCTCCCATCTGCTAATAACTCTGCCTGTGCTTCCAACTGTTGTATACAAGTGTGAGTTTTCCTTGGCTCTGGTCTGGAAGGCTGAGCTTGGCATCTAGGTTTCATTCCTGACTCTGAAACTGCTTCCCTTTTTAGCCATGTTACTTTGTTTCTCTCTGCCTCTTTTTCCTTCTGTACAATGTTAACGACATAGAGTATTGAAATGTGGGGTTGACAAATGATATATGAATGCAAGCCGAATGTTGTTGTGAAAACACCTTTACACTTACAAATTTTACTTGTCACTGTGAAATATTATAAAGGACTTAACTAGTGTGGTTTAAATATAGCGTATTGCAATCACTTGCCTTTTTTTCCTCATGCATATTTCCATTAATTTGCAGTATCAACCAGTTGGTGTGAACTAGGCTATCTTTGCTGCATATGTCTTGCTTGCATATGTTTTACTCTCTGGTTAACTTGCACCAGAACTATTTCTATCTGTGCTTGTTGGTAAAAAGAAACTATTAGTGCGTAGATCTTCTCAGAGGCTCAGACTCTAGGAGATACTACCGTCAACCCAAAAAATACACTAAACCATTTGTCATGTTGCAGTATTTCCGGGACATTTATGATTGAGATGGCACAGGAACAAGTGGACTTGAGTCCCTTCTTTACCCTGTCTTCTGCTGTATGTTGGGAGAATCTAGAGTCCCCGTCTGCCCCCCGCTGTTGGTCTTGGTAGGCCCTAGAAGAAAACACCTGAAAAAGTTAAATGGTTGCTCTTGAGATGGCTTTAGTTTATTAATTTTGTCCTGTTGTCTTCTTGCTATATTTGGGGAAACACAGTTCCTCAGCTGGTCACTTGTCTTCTCTCAAAGGCTACCTTGGCAGCTGGCAGCATGATGCAGACCCATGGAGATTTTGATGTTGCCCTCTCCAAATACAGGGTGGTAGCCAGCACTGTGCCTGAAAGCCCTCCGCTGTGGAACAACATTGGGATGTGCTTCTTCGGGAAGAAGAAATATGTAGCAGTAAGTATCTGGTTTCCTTTCTTTTTTCATCTATAGCTAACTTCATGCAAGAACAAGATTTCTCCTGTGGTAGAGACAGGAGATCTGTTCTGGGTGGGCTGTGTTACAGCACTCATTCCTTTTTTGAAGGCTATCAGCTGCCTGAAGCGGGCAAACTACTTGTCTCCCTTTGACTGGAAGATCTTGTACAATTTGGGGTTAGTCCACCTCACGATGCAGCAGTACGCATCTGCTTTCCATTTCCTCAGCGCTGCCATCAACTTCCAACCCAAGATGGGAGAGCTGTATATGCTCCTTGCAGGTATGCAGCGCTCTTGTTACCCAGCTCTAGTAGATATCCAGCTTAGGGGATGCAACATTATAGACACAGAAAGTTTGAAGTAAACAAATACTGGATAAAGGCTATGGTAAGAAGCTATTCCCCAGCAGGTCACTGACAGGTATAAAGTCTGAATAGTCTGTTTTCTTTCTGTGGTGAATAGGAAGGTTAAATTGCAGTCAGATCCAGATTAAACATTAGAAAAGACTTCCTACATGCAAGAGTTTGGGTTTGGGTTGCCTAAGGAGTGGGTGTGGATTTCCAGCACTAGACATTTTTGGGATCAAGCGAGACAAATATTTGTCAGAGGTGACATTAGTAGGGTTAATCCTGGCAGCAGTCCAGACAACCCTGCTAGCACCTATTTACTTTATGATGTAATGGCATTCAGAATTGTCCTAAAAATGAAGTCCTTGTGAAGCATCAACTTGCGTGTGTACATTTTGCTTTGGTACAGTTGCTCTGACAAACCTTGAAGACATTGAGAATGCAAAACGTTCCTATGAGCAAGCTGTGGCACTGGACAAGTAAGTCTTAATCATAGCTGTCAGTTGTTTGATTGTGTTGCTTTGCCTCTCTCACCTGGTTTCCTTTGCATACTCTGTCCCTCTGTCTACTTTGACCCTAAATGGTTTGCGATTGGAAAACGCTTTTTTTTCTTGCAGCTGTGCAAGTCGCTGTTTTAAAACCACCCTTTTTTTTTTTTTTTTTTTTTTTTTTTACTTATGTCGTTTTTTTTTTTTTTTTTTTTTAAATTCAGGTCAGCTCTGAAAAATGAAAGGGAAATTTTGTTTCAGTCCAACCCAAAGCTGGTTTTTATTTTGCTGTTTAGTTAGTGAGTCAGTGGTGATGACTTTGGATTCCAGGCCACCTTCCAGTGAATATTTATGCACAGCAGAGCAGAATTGATAGAAGAAAACCAGTCATCCCAGAATATTTTGTAACCCAAAGTTTGAGGAATGTGCAGAGCAATGAGAGGCTTGGGAGAAAGCCTGTTCTGAGTTGGGCAGAGGGAAGATTTTAGCTGGGAGAATGTGGGCAAGAATCTAGTATAAAGCATATAAAAGGGTAGCAGTGTAGCCCTTTCTCCTCCATTTTGTTGACAATGTCTGTGTTTGCAATCTGGCTCTTAAAATTAGAGCATTCGGTTTCAGAAATGTTAAAATGAACCTTGCAGTATTTCATTGTTTCAGTCAGAAAAACAAATTTATCTCAAATTTATGAATAGTTTTGGCTCCCTGGGTCTGCTTTTCTTTGCCTTTCTTTTTCACTTTTCAGATTTTAACTAGCAGGTGATTAGATGGTCATTATTCTCCACAATTTACTGTGAATATTTGCATACTTACAGCAGCCAGCACAGTGTTCCTGAGCCCAGTAGTCTGTATGCTGGCGACAGAACTGTGGCACA